ACCTGGTTGATTCTGCCAGTAGTCATATGCTTGTCTCAAAGATTAGCCATGCATGTCTAAGTATACGCAAATTATACTGTGAAACTGCGAATGGCTCATTAAATCAGTTATAGTTTATTTGATGTTTCTTGCTACATGGATAACTGTGGTAATTCTAGAGCTAATACATGCGTAAAAAGCCCCGACTTCGGAAGGGGTGTATTTATTAGATAAAAACATCCTCCTCGGAGTTTGGCGATTCATAATAACTTCTCGAATCGCACGGCCTTGTGCTGGCGATGCTTCATTCAAATATCTGCCCTATCAAACTGTCGATGGTAGGATAGAGGCCTACCATGGTTGCAACGGGTAACGGGGAATAGGGTTCGATTCCGGAGAGGGAGCCTGAGAAACGGCTACCACATCCAAGGAAGGCAGCAGGCGCGCAAATTACCCCATCCCGACACGGGGAGGTAGTGACAATAAATAACAATGCAGGGCCCTTTTGGGTCTTGTAATTGGAATGAGTACAATTTAAATCCCTTAACGAGGAACGATTGGAGGGCAAGTCTGGTGCCAGGCAGCCGCGGTAATTCCAGCTCCAATAGCGTATATTAAAGTTCCCTCCGGGGCCTAAGTATAATTTTTGTCAGTTTATTCACTTAGGAGGACTAAGGTCAGAAGCGTTTTCACTTTATCTTAAAATCTAACAAACGCAGAAACTTCTCTATTCCTTTTAGGAGTCCTTGAAGCGGTCCGGGGGGCTCAGTACGGGGTGATACCCAGAGCCAAAGGAGAAAAAACTGTCTTTTAAATCACGGAGGGATTCTTTAGCTTGGGCCTTAAACCCCCAAGCTTCATAATGCCTCCAAAAAATGCCAACGCGACGCAAGTCGCTCCTGAAGGAGCTCCAGTGGAGACAACCTCGGACAGACCGGTTTCTAAGCCGGAGAGCCCGATCGAAGCTGATAGCCCTTCAAATTTAAGGGGAAACAAGAGAAAACTGAGTGGGTTGGGAAACCCCCGGTCTAAGAAAGGAAAGAATCAGTTGTCGTCGGACTCAGACTCGTCTGAATCCAGCCCTTCTGAATCTGACTCCGACTCTGACTCTGATGTCCCTAAAATTGTCGAGCCTTCCAAAGACATGGACCAGCTCTCAAAATCGGCAAGCAGTCTGGGGGTGAGGGATGCAGCAATGGAGCCAGCACAAGCTGACCCAGTAACCCCACTTCCAGCCAGCAATTCGCCAACAACAACCAAGTCGCAAGGTGCCCATCCCTCAAAGGATCCTTTTCCTGAGGTGAGGGACTGGGCTGCCGAGGTGGAAATTGCAGAGGCCAAAAAAGCCCGCAATAAGCCCGGAAAGCCGAACGCAAAGGTAGAGCAGCGCGGGTGAAGCAGGCTAAACTTGCTCAGCTCACAGCGGACCGACTGGCTGTAAAGCCCCGCCGCGTGAGTGTGTCCGGTGTAAAACCCAGCATTGGGAACAGGACCCCTGCCCGCCAAAGCCCACGGCCTCCCTGAAAAGGGGGCCTCAAAAACTAAGTCCTCAACTGCTGGCAAACGCAAGCAGAATGGGGCCGAAATTGAGAATGACAGAGGGCCCTCTAAAAAGGGGAAGGGGCGAGTCTCGAATGTGGACCTTGGAAAAGGATCATTATCCGGGCTGTTGCGGGGCGTTCTTCATCCCGTAAAACCACCTCGGAGTTCCAGGATGGCACCCATTGTACCTGAACCTCTCCAATTCTCCAGTGAATGGCAGAAAGGGAAATCCCTGGAAAAGGGATTCTCTGTTGTTGAATTGACGCGGGGCATGCGTGCGGCGGGGCTGGTACCCATCCGTGCATCCAACCAAAAGTGGAGCTTCTACTTTGGAATGGTTGATCCGATTCGGATCTTCCTCGGATGCTGAGGAAGCCGTTGACAAGCCTTTTACCCTCCGGGGGTTGAGGTTCGCCTTACCCCATTCTTTAAGGAGGGACCGCGGACCTTCATCTGCAAGACCCTGGGCCTGTTTCCATGGAAGCTCTGATACAGAGTACCATGAATATGCCCCAAAAGCTCAATTTGGACTCCGGAAGGGAAGAAGCATTCGGTTGTATGGGTGACAAATGTCTTCTGACATTTGGACAACCGCAGAATTTCAACCGCATCTCCCTTGTCTTTAAAAATGTAGAATTCACCGTCGCTTTCGTTCCGCTCAGCCCAGTACCCCGTGTGCTATATGCATGGAGGGGCACAGCACTACGGGTTGCAATTGTTTAGTTCCTGTACCAAGCCCTTCTGGCTCCGATAACTTTTACAATAGCTTGATCGCGTAAATATCATTTGAAGATGTCTAAGTCCATACTCGTCGCGTCTGTGAATGTCAGGTCTGTGTTGAGTGAAGTCCGTTTCCGTGAAGTTCTACATTTTTTCCGGATGTCAAAAATTGATATCCTTTGTATACAGGAAGCCCGCCTTTCTAAAGATCGAGCAGAACGTCTTAATGCTACATTCCCCGGCATGCGACTGCTTACTAACCCAAACAATGATGAAGGAAATGGAGGAGTGGCAATTATGATTAATCCCGAAACGACGTATTTATCTAGTGCCAATACTCCCTCTGTGTTAGGTGATTTTTCCTCGGAAAACTACCTTTATGACGCAGCTGGCCGTCTCCTTGTTACAAATCTGAGTTGTAAAAATCAGCAACTGAATATCGCTTGTGTCTATGTCCCAGCTAATAGTACTGAAAGGGCCCTTTGGCTGGAAAACACAACTAACTTCTTAGTCTCGCTAGAGAGCCGAATCCGTTGTGACATTGTTGCGGGAGACTGGAACACTGTCACTAAACACTATGGATCATACCTCCCAGCGACGACACAACTTGCAAGAGAGACATCGGCTCCTATCCTTTCTCTCCTTCCTAAATGACGAAACTGGCCTTATCGATGGCTTCAGGGAACGCTTTCCTGAGACTATTCTGTACACTCACAAGAAGCCCGAATAGCGAAGCCCGTCTAGACCGAATCTATGTGACACCTGCCTTATATCACCGATCCTTTGATTGGGAATCTCATGTGTTACCCAGTTCTCTCAATCTCGATCATCACATGGTTACAGTTGGAATCAATCCGGTTACTACACCAATCCGTGGCCCGGGCCGTTTCCGCTTTAAATGTAACCTTCTGAAATCAAAACCTGTTCAAGAGTGCCTCACACTTTTTGTCAATAAAATGGAAGAGATGCCTGTGTCGCCAAGCCGCTGGGCAGCCCTTAAAGATGAGCTAGAGACATCACTCTCGACTGTAGTACGTGCAAAAACTCAGGCCCTTTCGGCCACACGTTCCAAAATAAAACGAAAACGTTTGAGACTCCTACTACAACGACGTGCCTCTCCAAATCCCTCGCTTGAGCGAAAACTTAGTGCTGTCACTGCTAGAGAAGGTCAACTGAACGAATTTGCAACCAGAGCCTATGCCTATAGTGCGATGGCGAAAAATCGGCTGTTGGGAGAGAAGCCGACACGATGGTTCTACTCCAGATTTTCTGCCTCCTCCTTCACACAAATTACTGCACTTCAGACTGGACCGGAGGGACCCGTGGTGAAACATCCACCGGACCTCCCTGCTGTGGCTGCTGATTTTTATAAATCGCTCTTCGCAGAACGGCCCACCAATGCACGCAAAGGCCGTGACTTCATCACCCTTATGCCAAAGATCCCGAGAGCTCTGCGTGAATCCATTACTGTTCCCATTACCTCCACTGAAGTAAGAGCCGCTATTAAAGGGGCGACTACGGGTAAGTCGCCTGGACCAGATGGTTTACCAATTGAGTTACTTAAGGAGATTTATAAATCTTCCTCGGAAAATGCTGAGATTCTGTGCAACGGTCTTGCCCAACTTTTTAACTCCCTTCTCCAAGGCGAAAAAGCGGCTGAATCCTTTTCGATTGGGGTCCTCTCCATCCTGTACAAAAATCGAGGCTCCGCTCTGGACCTCAAAAATTATCGACCTCTTACAGTGGCAAATACGGATTACAAGCTGCTCACTAGTGTCCTCGCACGTCGGCTCTGTTCTGCCCTCAATGATGTCATAGGTTCACACCAATATGCCTTCTTGCCAGGGAGACTTATTGATGATATATAAGACTGGTCCAATCAATCATTGATGAAAATAAAGGACGAGAAAATGATGGGGTTTACCTCCTCTTTATCGACCAAGAAAAAGCATATGATCGGGTTGACCACAAATTCCTTTGGCGTCTGATGAAAAACGTTGGTCTTCCCCGGACCATCCGCCGGGCTATCCAGGCCCTATACGCTGATATCAAGTTAAAGGTCATGGTAAATGGCTTTACAAGCTACGCTTTTCCTGTTATGAGTGGTGTGCGACAAGGAGACCCCCTTAGCTGTGTCCTCTATGTCCTTTTCCTAGAACCTCTCATCCGAAAAATAAATATCTCTGAAATTGAAGGGATCCCTATTCCAAATTCTGAACCAATCAAGGCCATCTGCTATGCAGATGACACTGTCCTGATTCTCAAAACTCAAGCCGAAGTGGACCTCGCCCGCCAAATCCTTCAGGATTTTAGCGAGAGCACTGGTGCAAAAGTTAACTGGAACAAGTCGAGTATACTCCGAGTAGGGAACCCCCCTGCTATTGTCATCCCAGAAGTTACCTTCGTCACTCCAGAAAATCCATACTTCCACCTAGGTGTCCCTATGGGAACACATCTCATGGCGCAAGTACAAACTCTGTGGGACGACGTGAGAATGAACTTTGAAAACATCGCCAATAAGTGGTCTAAAGCTCGTCTCTCGTTGAAAGGTCGGGTAATGGTGGCAAACAGCCTCATGCTCTCTCTCCCCCGATATCACCTCAAATTTGTCCCCATTCCAACCAACATGCTGAAAACGCTTGTGAAAATCTATTATGATTTTGTCTGGGAACACAAAACCCTTCACAAACTCCATGACTCACATGCCACTCTCCCGACTGCGAAAGGCGGAATCGGCAGTTTCGACCTCCACTGTGTTGTTGAAGCCCTGAGCGTGGAACTGATATCTAAATTGGAGTATTGCGATGACCTGCCTGGGTCCAGATCCAACGTCGCTTACTCACAAACCTCCATACTCGCACACAGGGTGAAAT